GGCAATCAATCAAGTGTGAATGTTGACGTCAATAACACGTGCATGGCTTCTGAATACACGTCATTGGTGGATGGTGCCAGCCAATCTAAAACAATGAAGACAGAAGCAAGATTATGCAAGCAGTACTGCAATCCAATAGGTGGAAGCCAAGATAGCCAATAATCTCCCTTTGTACATATTATTTAATCCACCCCCCATTTCTTTCAATGAAGGAAACTGCTGCTTACTACCATTCGTATGGTTTTTTCCTCGCGTCGCGTTCTCGTGGGACGTTGCGAATCCCTGCCATTGTGGTCCAGTGCTTCTGTGATCCAGTCCATGATAGCTGATTATTGATTCGTGTCTAGTGATTCCTATTGCGTGGTTTGCATTCCGTGCGTACTACTACTACTGTTACAATCATTCGAGGCATGCATTCGTTTAAACCGTTGCTCATACAAGTACAACCATTTGCGCGGAATATATTATTAAGTAACTAGAAGTCATATAAAATTGAACGAATCGTTCACGAGAGGGGATAGTAGGGTCGAGGGTCATAAAGTGGTTACCCTAGGGGAAACGAAGTGTGAATGTTATTTTATGCGCAATGGCTGTTGTCTTTTTCGCATATAGCCAAGGCAATCCATCTGATTAATGGAGATATTCCGATTCGTAGATGATTTTAAGATGAAAGTTTCAGAATAGTATTAAGATTAGTTTGGGACAGTTACATCGAAGGTGTACTTCTGTGGTGACCATGATTGTACGAAGAAAAGGAGCAATCCACGAGGACGTTTTCCGTTCATATTTTCTTCACAGGCAACTGACTCCAACTGTGATATTTCTTTGTTTTACTTCTGTTTGTTTTACCGAGCACGGTTTTCCGCTCAGGCTTATATATAAGCTGGGTCCTGTTCAAACCTACGCAACACGTGTGACACGCTATCGCTTTGCTACTGCATTTATTGCTTGTATTGTTTAGCGTCACCTCGGTACGTTTCGGTACTATCTAGTACCACGATTCGCCAATAAACGTTTACGACTCCCACGAGTGTTTTTGTCTACCTCGGGCAACGAGACACTAGGAGGTCGCGCGCATTTTGAGACTCGTAAGAAGACTTACCGGCGAGCCATCAACTCCGGTTAGCTTCATTGGTGAGTCCGCACCGTCTACCCTGTAAATCAATTCCAATTGGATTTGCACTTTTTCCTCACGGTTCATTATCATTTGCACGATATATATATTTATCGTCTTTTACGATGTCCGAGGTACGTCCACTGGTAGACGATAGGAAGCTGGACCTACTGGCTATTAGTTTTAAACCAGTAGCCTTCAGCCCTCATGACCCTAAGGTGTGGATTGCTGTGTTAGAAACGCAGTTTTTCGCCCGTAACGTGCGGAGCCAGCGCTTCAAATACGTTTACGTAGTAGAGGCGATCCCTGGCGACCGAATAT